AAGTGAGCTCCAGATGATAATTGCAAACACATATTGCTCATCTTTTACTTTCACTTGCCATGTGTGCTATTTAATAAAGTACAAAAGAGAAGAGTGTTTTCTTTTCCACTACAAAATAAATTCATCCCCTTTGTTTAGTATTCATCAAGCTTCAATGCCATTTGCCACTTTGATGTTCTTTTCTAAAAATGAGTCTGAAAAGTGACAAAGGGGAACAAAGAGAGCATTTTCCCCTGTCTTGTGTTTTATCAGCAGTAACAAATACAAGAATAAACCTGAAATGTGATTTTTATACAGACAACAAGGACCTATAAGAGTAGTTAATTGACTTGTAATGCCCTATGGCTTTGATGAAAGTATTTCTAGTTTTCTTTATGTGAGGATACAGACATCCTTCATTCAGGCAGTTACAGGTTTCCACAAAGTAAGCAACCAATTAGAACAGAGCTCTAAGGGACCTAACACCTTCTTGTCCTTTCATTGGTCCTAATGCTCAAGCTTTGGCAACAAATGATTAACCCATATTGCCTATGGAACCCGGGTGCTCAAGTACAGAAGCCTATTAAACCAAAGAATTCAGTGGTCAAAGGGTTAAAAATGTAGATCTACTGTCTGCAGAATTGGTGTAGCTGTTCAAGAGAAGATAGAATCGATTGTTTGACCTTGATACCATCACAGTATCTATGACCGATAACTAGGGCTAAAGGGATCAATTTGGGTCCATAAAAGGAGACCTATCAAGGGCCTAACAGTTTTAAGTTGTCCCCAGTGGGGATCAGTTAGTATTAAGATCTGGATCCTGGTCTATCCCTAGTCCTAGACCTATCATCTTACTACTTGCTGCTATTCCCACATAAGCTGTCCATCCAGGAAAACATCCTTACATGGGCTTCTCCTTTTATATTGGCATTTGACTCTATAAAATGAAAAACAGTATCAATGATGAGAAGATGAATTCAGGGAATGTTAAAAACTGTGATAGTTGCAGCTTTCAAGTTTTGAATCAATGATTTAAGATCTGTCTGCAAGTAAAATTTAAATATCTATCCATCATGATCCTCTGTAGTATAGACCAGCCTACAACATGGCTTTGTGCCAATTGAATCAAATCTCAAGTTCTTCCTTTGAGTCTTTTACTTACTTATGGTTGGATAATGGATATTACCCAAACCCAGGAAGACTAGCTCTGTATCCACAACAGACTTGTAATGGTACCAACCAATTCGCATCTCCAGAGACTAGGGGGATCCTAGCGCTTCCTTTTCATCCCTAACACCTCTCCAAATCAAAAATAGATAATGATTTCCTATTTACGTCCCTTTGTGAAGGGCCAAAGTTTGTGGGAACGAGCTTGCGTTGTTAGAAACCGACAGCCTTTTTGGGGTTGCTTCGATCATTCTCTCTGATGCTGGGAGGTTTGGCGAAGGTGGTTTCTATCCTGTATACTCCCTGGAGGATAGGGTTTCATACTTTCTATAAGATCCATTATCAACTGATGTCAGCGCAGAGTAAACAAACGCTTAACAAAATGAGATAGGTAGAATGAGATGGAGATTGCACTTCGACACTTCAAAAAAAGGGTGACTGAAAAGGTGATTTAATCGGTAATGGATACAAGTTGCACATTGCTTTCTAATTTCTAAGGAGAGAAAAATATGGTCGAAGATTTTTGTCTTGAATACTCCATGGTAATCTTTAAGAAATTCAAACTTGCTTGAGTGGAAAAGTTCATAAAATTGCCATCTACATGTACCTTTAATATTTCCCGTCTTGGCCATGTATTGGGATCTGTTAGCTTGGACTCTGGAGATGGCTAAGAAGACCAGTTCTACTTCTAGCCCTGAGTGATTGAGAAGACTAGGATAAATGGGAGCATTTGCACAAAATGCCTTCATCACAAACAGTTGATGCCTCTACTGTTAAAATTACCAGTTAATAATATGAATCCTAAAACAGACATCTTTAAAAAGAAAATTAAAAAGTGTAGGTGAACCACAAATACAAAAGGGTCTCAGATCTCCTTGGGTTACCATAAAACTTTTCCCCACCAATAGGCTTGAGAGGAGCCACCAATGAGATTGAGAAAGGGCTGCAGTATTACGGATTCCAGCTAAAGGAGGTACAATCTAAGACTATTTTCTGCTTTGGCAAGTTCATAGAATAAGTGTCAGTATAAAGCAGGCCTAAACTTGCATATTAGGAAACTTAATAGCCAGTAATTGGAGCTAATCTTTTTCCATAGAGCTGTCTCGAAGCCATACTTGGCGTGTGGGCCTAGGTGGAAACTCATTCATCCCGCATCCAAGAACAAGAAGAACAAAAATTGATTTAGGCTAAAATCACTGCAAAAATCTGAAAATACCCACAAGGAAATTCTCGGTGACAAAAGAACCTAAAATCAGCAAATGGGTCTATTTTGGTTTTGCATAATTGCAAGGAATCGCCTCCAGTGGGCTATTCAGGACAACACAAATAAGAAAAGAAAAAGAGCAATTGAACAAAAAAGGCCCTGGAATGAAAAAGTGCTCCATGCGCTCGCCAGCCAGCCCCTCGTGTTAGCTGCAGGACGTCGGCTGGCTACTACCCATTCACGTCCTGTCACAATGCCTGGCCCAACAATCAAACGCAATTTTAGACATTGAAAAAATAAAAGGAAAACAACCAGCAGTTACATTGTGGGCCTGAATGAGCACAAATTTTTAACAAATGATTGTTTGGGGATGAGGAACATTCTTCGATAATGATGGATGAGAGAGGAAATCGTTCCATTTGTGTTGATTTCCGCTCCGTGTGAGGGAACATTTTGAATAACTGGCACCTTTTTTCACAGTTCAGAGTTTCCACTTGCTGCAAACATGTGGGGCTTCATGGTTGTTGGAAGAAATTGCTTTTCAATCAAAATATAATGATGACAAATTACAAAAAAGTAAAAGAATGTAGAAAAGAAGTACATGGGACCTTTAGGGTCGAGAATGAGGGAAATACAGAAAATATCAAATCATCATAAATAAATGTATCCTTTTAATGTAAAAGTGAATGAACTCTATCCAACTGAAAGTCACTTTAATATTAATTCACTAACTTAGATAAAAAGAAAGATTTACTCCTTCAACAAATCACAAGGATATGATATGACACTATATCAAAGGAGCTTGATATACAGGACAACTCATTTGAGTGATTATCTTCACTACAATTTAAAAGAAACAACTCTTTAATCTATTTTACAGTATGCTTGTATTTGCCTATAATGGAAACAATTCAAGCATCTCATCTTATACTAATTAAACAACTTTCAACCACAATATTCATATAATAAATAATAATAATAATAGCACATTGCTTATAAAAATACAAAATAACACTACCGGCATGGTCTCTAGGCATGTTAGAACATGACTTTGTTAATGTCACAGAAACAGAAATAAATACATCTTTGAAGCCAACTTAAAGTTCATTCTTTTTAAAAATTCCCAAATTTGCCTTTAATCAGGTAAAGTTATCTATTCCTGTAAATAGTTTGACTGGAAAGTATAACTGACCTATACTTGCACTGCAAACTGTTAATACATTAAATTCTAAATAAGCATTCCAATGAGTATCAACAATTGTTAAATCCAACATTAAAGTAATATTATCATTCTGAAAACATTTACCACAAGGATACCAGGAAAAAAGGGTAAGATCTGCAAAGTATCATTCATTCATAATCTTGTATCCAAACAGAGGTTGTTGTACAAAAGGGTCAATATAATAATAAAGCCATTTTATGAGCAAAGGACGAAGATTTAACTGTGAGTGAAAGAGAAACCATTTTAATTCTTAAATTGGAGGAAGTTACTACAAGTTAACCACAGAAAGACTCTAAATCGTTTTTCAATCAAGCCATTTACAGCTGAATGTGCGTCTTTGATAAAGGAGCAATGGGGTCTCTTTGATGCTTAATTTCATTGTTGGGTTTCATCATTAAAGTGAAGCCTCGGAAGATTATTATTTAAATCTCCCTTGGTATTAGGTCGCTAGATACCGCAGGGCTAGGGGAATGACTGACTGGTAGAGGGCAAGTTATTCTTTCAATTTAATTTTCATTCTTAACATGTAGCTGCTTCTAGCAAGTCAATTGAATATATTACAGAGCTGCCATTTTCACTTGTACTGTGGAACTAACATTATTGCTTGGTCTGAAGGGGAAGAATGATACTGTAATCTTAAACTCAATATTTGAAATTGAAAATCATTTCTACAGTGGATAACAGGAATATCATTTAGAGTGAAATTGATGTAGACACGACATATCATTCATTTCTTCTCACACAACTATTTTTTTCACCAATATCTACTTTTCAAATTTTCTCAATTTGAAGCAATTATATAATAATTAATTAATTATTCTCTATTTTTGGTTGAAAACTAGTTCATCAAGATGTTATTAGAAAGTTACTCTGAAAACTGATGAGTAAATACATTCATTAAAAGATACCTGTATACAAAATCATTTAGAAAATAAATATCCTTTTCTCCCTCCTATTTAGAGAGATCTGAAACCACAAGATAAAATGATAATGCTCCTACCGGTAATTGTTTTCAAAACCAATACTTGTCCCATTTCTGTCACATGAACTTTATGGTCCTTTTCTTTTCTATGTATCTCTTTGCTTCAACAATATCTGAAAAACAAGGTACAATATACTATTCACTATGTATGTTTGCCCAGGACTATCGACTACTGACATTTAAATGAATAACTTACAAATACTGTGAAACACCCTGTACAACTAGAAAATTAATCTTTCATACTTCAACCTTAGAAAAGTTTCTCTATAATCATTTTCTAAGAATGTTTGAAATTTACCTACCGCCTACCACCTTTTAGTTTCAATGTGTTGAACATTGAAATGAAAGTATTAATTTAATACCTTTAACCACATTCTATCTGTTCTTATAACAATATTTTGGTTTTTCTTCAATTATATTTCTATTTAAGAAACAGTATGACTTACCTTGCTCTGCGAGAGTAGTACTCTTTGTTGTGAAAATACTGATTAGGAACAGGACCAGTGTCAGGTTCAAAGGCATTCTGGTCTCCATTCTAAGGCTATGTTTGTTAATAATATCCAATGGTAGACAAAATATAGACCGGATCCTTGGTTTCCTATCTCAAAATAAAACAAATGAGATGAAACAATCTTCTTTTGAAAGTATGGTATTCAACCAAATCACAGTAAAGATGCCGTTGTCCTTCGATCCAAGATCCAGGAACTATTCAAGCGTTGGATCCTCTTCAGTGATGTATCGTTTGAGATGGATTAATAAGCCGTTCTAATTAATATCATCCTTGTAACCCAGTGTCACATATTAGATGCTGTAGATTCCTTAGCATGTCAACTTGATGATGATGAAGGAATGTGATGATAGGATCTCCTGGCCTTCAATCAAGTAGATGGTGATCAGCTAGGTGATTGTTGTCTGATCCAACATGTCCTTGTGGAAGAGATTTACAATCCAAACACTAAATTAACACCTGGTAGCCAACAAGCTCTCCCACAGGTCTTTATGATTCCATAAAACCAGAAGAAAAGCAGTTGTCGCAGGACTCCGGTTCTGTTACCAGCGGTATAAATCCTTAGCGATTTGAACACTCTCCAGGCTAAACATAAAAAAAATGTTATTCTTTTTTGAATCCTTGATTGAAGAATGTTATGCTGGAATCATAAAGAGTAATAATAATTCCACTTGTCAAAGCTCGCCCATCATCTTGTACTGTTGTTACTGAGGGTGAAAAGTGCAGTGTGCTCCAGCGGTCCAGTGTCCATATCCCAGTGTTTGAACTCGTTATGCAGTCATGCTAAGCTAACACATGCATGTCTCATCGTACACACTTGGATTGATGCTTACTCAACCAATGCACTATCCATACAGAGCCACACACTATGACTGACACATCACTCCTGGCCAATCGCCAGCCAGCACAGTGCTAGGCTCCGCCCACAGAAGGCTTATTTGGTGGTGGAGTGATTGACTTGTTTTATAGGGGTGGTTAAACATGTACAAGAGTTTCCTTTTCTTCCTCTCTATGTAATAGACTCTAATTGCTGTCTCCACAAATTATCAATTGTGTCAATGAATGAAGTTTTGAACCCTATCTATAATGGAAGAATCAATCAAAAACTTTATTTTCTCAATGATAGAAGGATTGCTTTCCAAGTATAGTATGTAATTTCTATGAATTTTCAGGAGATCATTGACATATATTTTTCTTTCTTGTACTTCACCCACTAGGTAAAATATTTTATTCTTGCTAATATAGTTATCAATCCTTTCTTTCAGCGTTTTTTCAACCATTTTCTCGTCATGGCCCCCTTTTAAGAAATAAAAAGTTTTGCATCACAGAAAAAATTTAATGTACAAAAAACTTTACAGAACATAAAGACCTGTACCACTGATCTCTACAAAAAGAGATCAGTAGCAACCTGTACATGAGATATGCGATTTCTAATACTGTGTTTTCACGAGAATGACGTTATTCAAATCTTTGATATCAATAAATTTCTCTCGCGGCATGTGATGGTGATGCCGCACCTGGTTGAAAACGTTCGGTAAAATATCACATTTTATTCAGTCCTTTCTCAATGACTCTACTCTCTTTTCAAATATTTATTAACAGTTATTTTGTGTGATAAATATTTGTCACTATACTTTAAATTAACAAATACTATTTTCTTAACTTCTTATCGCCCTTTCTTAATTCTTGGTCCTTTTTTGGTTATTTTGTAATGCCAAATTAAAGAGATGAGCAGAGTGAGTCTCCATAATTATCTATCAAAAGAAGTCCTGTAAGAAGCATCTAAATACTAAAACCATGATAGTAAAAGATGAATCATCTTTAAGTCACGATCTCTGAGAAAATCTGCAGAGAGCCTACTACCAATGCCTCTACCACCATCACTGCTGCAATGCCGAGAGACCTCAAGAAACACCGCCAAGACCTCAAGAACGCCGCGAGGATCTCGGCTAACGAGACATGACGAGGCAGAAAGATGATGGCTTTCCAAGGCGGGCGATGGGGGGAAGACGAAGATGGCGTTCCCATTGATTTTCTTGTTGCATAATAGGACACCTGCATGTGTCATTGTGTGTCATCTCGTGTCACGGCGGAGGTTATTCGATGATTAATGCAACATGGAATCCAGATGGCGAGCGTTTGGTGGGGAGAGGTGATACACCATCTAGTTCACTTCCAGATGAGTGTAATCAAAATATTAAGATGGTATCATAGGGTATCATGTAGGCCTAAGCAGCATCCTGCAATGTTTTATAGGCTTGAAGTATCGGCAGAGATGCTAGAGTACATCCCTCATACTAGCTGGTAATAAAGTATGGTAGCTTGCCAGATAGACACCCAAAAAGTGATGAGAATATACAACAGATACAACTAACCAAATTCAAGACTTCCGCATCAGATGAAGTTTTAGATTATGCTTAAATTTGTTTAAAGATGAATACTGTTTAAGATTTGGGGGTAGAATTGATGATAAAAATAGAGAGAGAATAATCTTGTTGAAGAGATGCAGAACAGAAAAAGAGGCAGCAATGTGCCTCATGAACTTGTACCATTTAAAAAGTCTGAGTTATAGGGTAGACTTGGTTTATTGCGCCCCCCTCTTTAGGTTATCAATTAGTGCATAAAATTATTTAGTCGTAAAGTTAAAAATATATACCACTGTGGAGAGGCACTATCCATATTCTATCCCAACTTAACTATGAACACCAAGGAAATTACTTCATCTTCAGATGGGAAAGTCCCTAACACACGTACATAGATTTATAGTTAGCCCTATTTACAGCTTGTCATATTTGAAATTTCTTCATTCCAATAATGCTGACAAAAAGGGAACAAATTTATTCTGAAATTCAAACCATGATATATCGCAGGCAATAATAAAGTCCAACGACCAGCAAAGCCTGCCCGCCCGCACGCTGGGCCCTTTCTCCCCCTTCAATACTTCTTGCGGCGGACAGTCCCAATGAGAAATATAAAGGGTATGAACCAGTTTGTATTTAGAGGGAATAAAACGGTGGAATTTCCTCTCATTATATCCCTGCTGGTTCCAATTGATTAGGAGGAGATAGATGGGCAGGCATCTTGCTGGGAAAGTAATTTTCTCTCTCCTCGGAACTACCATGTGTGATTTTCACCAGCTACGCGATGACCCCTTCAGCCGTCAAACGTTTTCGGGAAATCGCATCTGAAGTGGATGCAAGGAAACTCACTTCGTTAATATCTCACAATTTTTATTGGAAATTCACTTTTTGTGATAGACACTTTCTTACAAAGGTCAAGAGGGTTTTACTGGCAGGGGAAACCACAACTTTTCATATCCTTAAATCCTAATTTTATTTGATATCTTACGTTCCTTGCCTACTTGCAATATAATACCAAAGAGATACCAGCAACAAGAATGTCATGCTATACATCAGATTAGAAAAAAAAAAATTTACTAAGTGAAAATGATTAACACTCTAATAATACAGATGATATTAGAACAGCAATATATTTATCACCTCATACAAAAAAACAACATCAATAAAGACCAACTGAGCAGTCTCATCTGTTTCAGAATTATACAATTCTACTTTTTTTTTGGGGGGGGGGGGCAGGGGGGGGGATTTGTTGGTTAAAGTATTGATTATCACAGGACTGTCTATTTCAAAAATGTTTCTAATCATATCATCCATCTTGAGGTCAATCCTAAAATAGAAACTTAACCCTGCTTTCTGACCCTCACATCAGGAGTTCAAATAATGTTTTTCTAACCTTTTCTCACATTTTCTTTTTCTCCCTCTCATTCCTAAACCACCACGGGCATGACCTCCACCCAAAATTATCTTGACCTCTCGGACTCAGAAATACAATATTTCAGTCCACAAAATTAAGTCCTTCTGTATATCCCTAACAAGAAATTACATATGAGAGGGGTCCGGGAAGAAAATATCCAAAAGGGCTTGGGACTGATACTGTTTATTTGCCGATAAAGTTCAGATATCTTAAATGTAAGATGATGACCTTTTTGTGTTGCAACACAAACACGGCCGCTTTTGTACAAAGATTGTTAGCAAGATATCAGGACTTGCACCACACACAGTTATTTGGTATTTCAGTTAAAGCCTTGAAATATCGAGCATCCAATATTGACAATCATGCTGGGAAGCGCTCCCCACCAGTTGGACTTGGATTCCGGGGTTAGAAGATGCAAGTTCTTGACAAAAAAATGGTTGGTTGAGGGGGTAAAATCGTGTGATGGCTCAAAGGTGACGTGTCTTGATGGCGCGACCGCGGACAGATTGCGGCGCTGGGCGTAATGAGCGTTCACAGTCGGTAATAGCCCCGGGAACAGGTGAAGTAAACAGTGGCCAGCGTGACAACCTCTGTATGCCACGTTCCATCCCAGTTAGCAAAACCAAAGATTTTGACCAATCGAAAAGCAAACTGAGATATGTTTGAAGTCTTGTACTTATTTTTATGAAAACAGAAAGTCTGTTTGCATGGATACAATCTACTTGCCTCATTACCATTGTTTTGAATTTGGACACTTTTTATACCACATGGCATCAAGCCACAATTTTTTTATTTTTTTTTATCCAATTTCTTCAAAATGTTAATGAAGTTTATCAAGTTGTATCAATCCAAAGCTCTGAAATCTACCAATGATTTCTTATAAATATTTTGATATGCAAAACATTTTTTTTTTCAATGATAGATTTGGTAATAAATTATGTAAAACTGATTTTAAAAAGGGTTCAGTATAATTTGTCAAGATTAAAAGCATAAAAACGATATCTCTTGAAAATCTGGACTAAAAAGTAAGCTCTAACAATGACAGATAGATCTATCATAGTTTGTAAAGAACAATGATATCAATAGGGACACCTAACCATTTTATTTACCTCACAAAAATCAAACACAATCATACCCTGTATACCTACATTATCTTTAAAAGAATAGTATACTATTCTATAAGAAATGGTCTACTATTCCTTAGAATCATCAACTAGGTAATTACGCTAGAGGTTGAATTTCTATTGGGTCTTCCGAAGCAGCGCTGCGGTACTTTCTCTTGTGGCCAAAGTTTTGCTGGATGCCAGCAGGACTGTGTTTACTTTTCCTCTGCTACTGCTTGGGGTTTCTTATAGAGGAAGCACACTAATTCACTTCTAAACTAAGTTCAAATCAACAACTAATGGATTCAAGTTCTGAATCCATTTATAAAGGGAAATCTGACACATTGAATTACAAAGAATCACATTCAAAACATGGACCAACATTCAAGTTCAATACAATAAAGTTGAGTTTAGTTTAGTTTAAACAGTTTTGAATCTTAATATAACATAGAAGAGTTTGATAAATATGTACCCTTGAGTATAAGTCAATGAAAAGTTCATACCCTCAGACCGACAGTATTAATTTCCCTCATTATTCTAAGAAAATATACCAAGTTTTAAATGTTAAAAATGTCTCTTATTACTTTAATGAGAAGGAAATTCAGATTATCTCTCAGCTCACAACTTCAAAATATAAGATTTCACAACCAGTGTTGATCTAAACCTATATCTATATAGCACTTAGCAAACCTATTTGTAACCTAATGCTGTTTTAGTGTAAACTAGTCAACTCAAACATGCAATCTTTAGTTTTTTTTGTTATTTAACCTTCTCTCACATCAAAAGAATCTGGCTCAATCTTTTGATGCCTTAAAACAATCTTGATATATTATTTATTCAGTAAACCCAAATAACCATAATCCCTTTCTTTCATGTTCCCCTCCTCAAATGAAGTGGCAACATGCAAACTAATATTTGACAATATAA